CTGAATGAATGAATAAATATGGATGCAAATTAGGTGGAAAAAAAGAGACACTTGACTTTTCCCTGAGAGAAAGAGAAGGAGATGTTGGCTTCTAATTACAGATTCTCACAATCCACCAGAAACAGACGAATCTTGGGTACGTGAACAACACGAAAGTCAAATCTGATCTTTCAAGATTTATGTTAACTGCTCAAAAACATCCCTGTTTTGAGCTTCTGTCAGGAAAGTGGAAACCCACTCCTCCCATCGAAGGAGCCTCACTTTTCAGTCTTGGCGCCTGTCAAGCACCAGCAGCTTCAGCGCTTCTTGATGCGAACATTCCAAATGCCAATATTGCTTGTTGTCACATTAGCCAATATACAATCCTCAAAATAAAATCCTCTTGATGTCTGATTACTCTTCTTAAGGACCTCATGCTGATTCATTTCAAACTGTGAATTACCTTTAATTCACAGCTTGAACAGGCTGCCAAATTTTGTTTTCTCTGCTCCCAGGTGGCTGTCCCTGATGTGGTGGGGAACATCCAAAAAAATATTAAGTCCTTAGAAAAAGTTGGCAAGCTCTGAGAGGCAGGGCCTACACAAAGCAAGAGTTGGCAGACGTCTGGGCCTGAAAACCAGAACGGCTACAACTAAGGAAAGCCGTCAAGATGACCGGGGCATCAGGAGAGTTGAGTCGGGCGCGCGTAAGCCTCACACTCCTCAATAGCATGTCCAAACTCCCAAGTGCCAAATCACGTGTTCTGATTAAGAATTCATCCGATTAAGAAAATCACAGCCCCCTTCCCCCTGCCTCATGACACAGTTGCTTCACTACCAGAATTGTATCGAAAAGGCAGACCAAACATCTACTTATGGAAGAGTATATGAAATTGCTAGGGACGTAGGTTAGTGCTCCACAAGAAGCCCTGGCAGTCCTCGAATCTCAAATCAGATTCTCGAAAGAAACATTTTCAATGAGAAAATTTTAGGTGGGATGGTCAGAGTTGTAATGAATGTGAGTTATTTTTTTGAGGGGGGGGGTTAAAAAAATTCAGAATTCACCTGAGAAATAATGTAATGCTTGTTATTGGTTATAATAAACTGGAAAACATTCTACTAGTCTTTCTAGTCTCTGTGGTAAGGAACTCTTCCTACCACATAGAGTTTAGAACTCATGCTTTATTTAAAGCAATTTTACCGGGTTTGGGTATAATTTACTGTGGGCCTCCTTCCTACTAACTTCCGCTGTCCGAGTCTTCCACATTCAACATGCCAAATGGGGTGTTCCAAATCCCTGAACTCACGAGAGCCCATGAGCAAGGGCAGCGTGGTGGGAGAGAAGAGGCCTGCCTTCAGGCTTGCCTGCCAAGGAGCAGTGTAACTCGGCCCTTCTGTGCCCTCATAGCCAAAATGTTTCCTTTTCCTCCTAACTAGCGCTACCTTCAAGGATCCATTCATGTGGCAAACATACCCATCACCCACAGGGGAACAGAGACTGACCACAACTAGTCTGTCTCTGCAAGGCCTTTCATCAAGTCTCCGGGTCCATGGCTGGGATGTTTGAAAACCTGTAGCTAATACCGTAAGTGAAAGAACTGGTTTTATGGCAAGAACAGCATTATAGCTACATCTGCCTTCATATTGGGCTTTTATGGAAACCATCCAGGCGTTCGAGAGAGCATGGCTTAAAACATAGGAGCTGCTTGATTAAAAGGGGGTCTGGAGGGTTTCCAACTGGACAGGGTCCAGATGCTAACAACCAAGTATAACAAAGGCACTGGATACTTGGAGCTTCCAAGGACCGACTACACGGATACCCTCGAGTACATGGATGCTGTCTGATAATGCTTCTCAGGTGACTGAATGCATCTTACCTGTTCTTATTTAGGACGGCTCATAAAAGACCAACAAGGTCATGCATTTTTGTAAAGCCACTGTACTGACAAGGAATTGACAAGATGTTATAAACTAGATGAAGCAATCCAACTCGACAAAGAAAATCCAAGTTCTTTGGGTTTGGTTTCAGTTTTCTCCTCCATCAGTCCTTAATGGCTTCATTAAGAAACTAGAAAAGTAACACAATGTCCGGTGTGTACATTCAATCCCTGAATCTCATAATGGAAATAAATGGATCTTTCAGAGGCAGAACGAACATTATATTATTGTACAAATATACAACTCTAGAGCCCTGAAAAATACAGTTTGGCCTTCAGATGCCCATGCCCCACCCTCTTTTGGGAGAGAGACCTTTTTGGAAGGAGGCTAGAAACTCCATTGGATTTAGAAGCCCTGGGTGAGGCCTATTCCAAGACTCACAGAGGCGGAGGGTCTTCTTTCCTCTAGAACTTATTAAGGGTTAAAGGGAAAGGCACTTTTATGTTGTTAAGTCTAATTACTGAAGAGTATAACATTTTTTTTAGAGTATAGCTGTGTACATTTGAATTCTGGAAAGTGTTTGTGTGTGTACATTTATGTGTATACACATAGCTCATTAATTTGCTTAATTTTCCCTAGGGGGCTCTATCTGTATATTTTGAAATAAAAAGTTCCCCATGATTTACACTCGTATTCTCTGAATTCTAGGTCAGTGTTTTCCCTCCAGTACTGTAACTACCATGGAAGATAGATGCAAACTCAGGTCTTGGAACTCCTCCAGTCTAATGCTCTTGCCTCACAGGCAGTGAGAGTTCTAGACAGAGTGGGTAGGATGCCACCACGTGGATGGACATCCCAGAAAAAGTGAAATCTACTGAGCGAGGCAAGACCTGGTTCTCCAAAAGCCAGTCAGACTGCTGGGGTCAGGCCCAGAGGGAGCCTGGCTGGTTCCCAGTTTGGATTCGGACACACTTGGATCAGTTTTGGAACCCGCTGCCCGTGCGTGCAGTCCTCACAAACAATCCAGGCCCAAATGGAAGATCTGCATTTCATCAACTGGGGAAGAGAAGCCAAGATGAGGAAAACTAATAAAGTATCCCAGTAATTAAGGAATGCTTTGCAAGACTCTCATCTCTCTCCCTGCAGTAAGTGGCGGGAGCATGTCCAGGACATTTGCCGGCCTTGGGAACGTGTCTCTCCTGCAGCAGGGGCAACTTTGGGGTTGTTTCCCACCAAACTGGAGCCACCAGCGGGCTGTCTACACACAGAAGGTTCTTAGTTGCCTGGAGGATTACACTGTCACATGGAAAATCCTAGAAGCTGGCTTGAAAAGCACATGGCAGGAAAATAGGGGAGAGTGATAGTAATGACAAAGCGGATAATAATTTGGAAGCTAAAAATAAAAATAATTATTATAAGTCTATCTGTCCTGTCTTAAACTCACACCCTACCATAAAGAAGGGAACTTATTCCAGCTCAAGTCTGATGGACAATGATTGGTCTTTAGATCCAGCAGCTAAAAAGAAAGCAGCTCATTCATAAAATGGACTCAGTGTCTTCTAGTTTTATCGACCCTTCCCATAGAGAACCTTAGTCCTACTGAATTACACAATATTCCAGTGTGCTATAAAGGGCTATTTTCTGGAAATCAGCCTCTAACTATAAATCACAATTGACGAGTTTATTTCTGTTAGTTACAAACTATTGAAATATTGAATTTTTGGTCTATATGGAAATCAGCATATTTCACAGCAGGAGCCTAATACTCTTGCTTTAGGAGTAAGATCATTTTCCAGTGGGAAAAATACTTTTATATTTTTTCAAGTCTGGAAACCTGTGTTGATTTCCTAAATGCTCAAGTGTGTGCATGAGTTCTATTGACATTTTAATGGGAGAAGGGCAAAGTACGAGAACAAGATCTATTGTTTACTAGAATCACAAGGGGAAGGGCAATTCAAGATGCAATGAATGGAAAAGCTGAAATGAACAATACCAAAGACGATTTTGATTTCCATGTTTCCACATAATTTGGTCCTTAATTCAGGGTTATGGTTTTATTTCCCCCCTTTCTTATTTTTTTCTCACCTCTTTAAATGAGAGTTCTTGGTTGCTGAAATTGAACTTTGAATGTGAAGGCACAGATCAGGCCAGAAAACCAAACAAGAGGACTGACGATGCGGTCAGGGCTCTGGGGGCTTTGCTCTTCAGCAGAACCAGGAACATGGAAATGCCATTGTCTTTCTCAGAGCCATGGTCTATTTGGGAGTCATTCCCAGTTGTTTTATGCAATTATTCGTGATCTTCCAAAAGGTGAGCAATTCACTTCAAGTGTGCCATTAGACCACTTGAATGTCATAAATTATTTCATTTTGAAAATTTTCAAGTATGTGACTATTACATAGAAAAGTCGACTTTCATTTTCCATTATTAGGAATGGAAGAAGTTGTGAGAGAAATACTCCCTTGATACATTCTTGGACAAATGGATATTACAAAATCTACAGCAGTTAATCTGAGGAAATTGGTTTCTCCGTACCCCTCCTTCAGTTAGCATTAATAACAAATGAAGACAGTGCCGAGAGAATCGCGGGGCCCTGGCTTCTGAACTTGAACCCAATGTCATGTAATCTCTTATTCCATGTCTTCCTGGCTGTCCTTGTTTGTCTTTAATATACAGTCACCAGATGACCTACAAACAGCAAGGTCTCAGGCTGACTGGTCATAACAATCCACTCAACACTTCATGTCCCATCATGGCTGCTGAGACGTGTCCTTTCTCCATCCCAGTCAGTGGTGTCTGAATATCGTGTATAATGAGGTCTGTGGCGGAAGTTACATAATGTTCAAACAACCAGTCAAGAATCACAGTTGTTTTCATATTCCAGGTATTATTAATCCAGCCTGTTTTACCTCACTAGAGAGTCTAATGGTGACCTCATTCATTTTTACTGTTACTCGCTTATTGTGGGAAATCTCATTCTCCTCTCTAACCGAACCCCATATTATTATGAGCCAAGGTTCCTATTTTCGAGGAGCAGGAGAGAGAACAAGATTTGCTCAGCACCGAGGCATCATTTCCTTGCCAAATGCCCCTGAAGAAGCCTGCTTTGGAAACCCAAGTACTCACGACTCCAGCGATACTAACTTCGTAGAAGCTCTGCTGGTCGGGTCGCTCCACTCTGAAAAGAAAGGCCACACACAATTACAACCCACATTTTCTACTGTCAAATGATCACTCTGAATGAAATCGGTCTTCAAAGATGCAGCCCTTCCAGTTACATATATACATATATATATACATATGTATATGTGTGTGTATATATATATATACATATATATACATATATATATATTTATAGCATCCTGTCATAAATCACAGATGAAAAAGTAAAGGAACCAATCAGATGTATCACAATATGACTTTTTGCCATTGTCAATTCATGTTTTCATGATATTAGGTAGGAAAGAGAAGAAAGTAGGGGAGGAGATGACATGAATGTTTGGACTAAGAATTTTTTAAAAACACCTACTTTGTAAGGTGAATCCTGGGGTCAGGTGTTGGGATTCCTATAAGGAAGAACACACAAGAAAGACAAATATTAGTGAAATGCTACAGACGAATCAAAAGGTGTATCTGTTATTGTTGAAGACAGAGCATGCCTAGTGTTTGCCAAGAAGGAAGCCACTCTTAACAATTTCATTAAGTTGGCTTCTGTCCCTAGCTCTATTTGAAGGATAAACACTTGTGAGTCGAACCTGCCACAACATGACCATAACTTCCATTCCATCAGACTGATGAAACATGTGCAACATGGGAACAAATGACCCACACATGTGAAATTCAAGTGTTTAATTTCTCACTTAGCTAGGCAATGATGTCTCTAAGGAAGGAAAGGGGTCCCGGTTCAAACTAACAAATGATCCTGGTTTTTGTAGAAGTGTAAACAAGACCGTAATTAATAGATGTGCTCAGTTGCTCCCTTTTATAGTAACAACTCCAATTTTCCACCCTAACCGTGACACTCGATAGATGGATCTCATTTTCACAAGACAAGTGTTCTTAAAACTTCATTATAGATTTGGTGAAGTATGGGAAGCCATTTGAAATATGTGAGTGGAGCGCGTTATTTAAAGGGATTTCTATTTGATTTGAAAGTCACCCTGCACACGACTCATTCACTGATGTTGAGAAACCCAGATTTCTGCACATGGCGCTTTCTGGGAGCATGGTGCACCTGTGTGGATCCTGACCAAACTCGCAGGCAGAAGCACTCTAACAACAGACAGTGCGTGCACGGCACTGTGGGGATGGAAGAGAGAGTGCTGACTGCAAGACAAGAGCTTCGAAAGGGAGACAATGAATTCAAGGAAATACAAGGATTGGTTATGTCCACCACTGCTGTAAGTAATCTAGTCTTGAAGCCTAGTCTTGCCACCCCTATAGAAGAAAACTAGACTCCCAGTATCATTTGTCTTTAAGAGAAGTAATCAAGAACAATAACACTGTGCTTTAATGGAAGGTGAATGTTTCAATCTATTTAGCATGATTCTGTTGCCCAGGAGACTTCACTTCCAGCAAGATCACCACTCCAGAAGACTACCATAAACTCCACAAGAGATGTCAAAGGCCTCTCAACTAAAGAGCTATCACAAAGCCCATGCAGTTTGCTGCTCAAAGGCTTCTCTACCCTCACTTGATAGAGAACTGACTTTTGACGAAAAACTCTAACAAGCTTGGCCATTTGATTCCCAATCCTTAGCAAATCATAGATGGCGAGGAAGGGGAAACAGTCCTCGGGGCCACTGGGAGTCCCAGAGCTACTGGGAACGCAGAGACATGGAAACCGACAGCACACAGGGCCAAAGAAAATAAAACAGCCAAGTCAAAACTTACAAAGCACAGGAGTCTATGGCCATTTAATATAGAGGCAGGCATTCCTACCCATCTGAATAGTTCCCGAGGGCATATTTACAGCATAGTCCAACAATTAATGTCTAAGTTATCAAGAAAGACGAAAGCACATTCAGTAGAATTTTTATAAGAAGTCGCAAAAATATTAATTACATCTCAAAATGATTCTCATTACATGATGCCTATGGAAGGATGGGCCTTTTGTTATCCAAGAATTTTGATCACCCAGAACACCTCATTTCTTTCCCAGAATGCCAATAAATGAGGGGTTTGTATGTCCTTCACTATATACCAGTATTTCTATCTGTTCTTTTTTACAAGGGACTTCATTACAATTGTACGGGGCACGTTTGGGCTCGTATACAATTAGGAATCAAATGACAAGCTCTACGGTCAAATAAACCAAATACTTGGTTAGAGAGTGACACATGCAGCCAGTCACTGTACTGGTCCCAGGAAGGTGGCCTGAAGTTTTAACCTTCAACCAAGTATTCTGGACTTTAGACCCCAACAGTCAGTTGTTCAAGGCATCGGGGCAGTGACTTATGAAATGAATTTGAGGATTGCATTATTTACAGAATTTGGGTCATTGGAGGTATGTATTCTTGATACTTTTTTTTTTTTTTTTTTTTAAGTAGGCTCCACACCCAGTGTGGAGCTTGAACTCACAACCCCGAGATCAAGAGCCGGATGCTCTACCGAGTGAGCTGCCCAGGTGCCCCTTAATACCATTTTAATGTTAAGCTGGGTAAGATTTTTAAAACCAGAATTCCAAACAAATGAAACACCTTTGGATATCACCCAAGTTACTGTACAAACACACCCAGCCCCGATTGGAAATAGCCTGGTTGTGGGAAAAAATCTGCATTGTTCATGCCATAATTGTTGATGCCCATAATACAAATCTTTAAAAAAGGGCCTAACTTTGATCTGTGCATTTCTTTCGTAGACATGTCACGTCAGTAATTTTAGTAATAGAATACAATGATGTCAAATTGTTTTCACCAACTTAAGTGAGAGCATTTTCAATAATTACTTTGATGATAATCCCACAATCAGACGCTCCCACACGATCTAGATTCTAGAGCAGGGGTTGGCAAACTTTTCCTGTAAGGGACCGGGTACTAAAGATTTTAAGCTTGGCGGGGTGGGGGGGGGGGTGTGGGATACGGTCTTTGTCGTAACTACTCAGCTCTGCCGCTGTGACCACTCTCACTACAGCTAAGCCGTAAATGAATCAGTGTGGCTGGATTCCAAGAAAGCTTGAGCTATAGACATTGAAATTTCAATTTCATATCACTCATGTTATTTCATACCATTCATAGTAACTCATAATATTCCTAACTATTCATATTCTTCTTTTGAAAATCCTAACCATTTAAAAACCTAAAAGCCCACAGGCTGTAGTTGCCAGCCTCTCTCTCTGGAGTTCGATTACCTCCACGAAGGCTTTACTGAACTGCCCCTGAGGACACTATTAGCCCCCCCACCTCTGCTTAGCAACGTACCCCCTTCCTCGTGAGCCCTTCCATTCCCTATGAGAAAGCACAGCATTTTCAATTTGGGATGGATAAGTAAACTTCAGTAAGTTGGGAATTTTCAACTGTGTCTTGTTTTTGTAAGTCTGCAGACTCACTGACTACCTGGCCTGAAAAATCCATTGGGATTATATAGTGCCCGCAGGCGTGCGTGCACAGACACACACACACACAGATAGTGCAGATGGGGAAACTGAGGCTCAGAAGAACTGGAGCAGGACCACCGAGCTAGCGATTGGCAGAGCCAGGATTAAAAGCAGCCAGGTCTGCAGCTCCCAAGGCCATTAAGACAGCACCCTTTCGGCTGCTCCAGCTCTAACATAAATGTACGAAATGAACGCTTTCTGAGAGGGTGGCGTCACCTAGGTCCGGGGCAAACACTGAGGAAAGGGGGGTCACCCAGGCCTGTGTATTAACCATACACGGCCACGTTTTGGAAAATGGAATTGGAACCGAGGCATCTGTAAATCTGTGTGATAAACACATCGCCACAACACCTGATTCCCTGATTTATTAGTTGGGTGATTCGGAGCACATGACTTTACTCCGTGCCTCAGTTTCCTCCTCTGTGAATTAGGGAGAGTCGAATTACCAATCTCTTTGGGTTGTAATGAGGATTAAATTATTTTCTAGATAGTATGTGCATAGAATGAGGCGAGGCACGTCCTGGCATTATGTTGTTGATGTACTTTTCTTTCAAACCAACATTTTGGCAGGAACCAAGTGAAACAAAAGGGTGGGTGTGTATCCTTCCTGGTTTCACCATTTCATGCCAGTTGCCTCTACCTTTATCGTGCGGTCGATGGGAGCACAGATAATTGGCAGAAAATGCAAATTGTGCCTGATTCCAAATTGTGCAGTTACTACAAAAGCCTATTTAAACAACCGGTTCTATTGTATACACTTGTAAATGTCAAAATTGCAACTTGCGCAAATTATCTCCGAAATTGGAGAACACAGCTGAAAACACTGCAATTGCTGAACCAGTGTTGGATTCAACGCCTGAAAAGGCTGGATGGATCCCTTGGCTGGGATGCTAGGGAGGAGGACCCCAAGCCCAGAGTGGCCTAAGGAGGGACAGTGGGCATACAGGAAGGAATGACACACACACCGGACGCGGACAGAGAAGGTTGCTGCTCACTTACTTCTGACCCCTTTCAAAGGCAGACGGGGATCACTAAATGCAGTTTAGGCCAATGTTATTGTTAAACTCATGACCCTAGAAACTGAAGGATGACTGGGTTTCTCCTTCCACAAATAAGTCTAAACTCCTCGGCTGACATTCAAGGTCTAAATTACAGAGATGCACTCATTTGCCCGGGGTTCAGATGTCTCTCCACTTCCCATTACACAGACTCTGAACCAGCCACTCGAGACCACCCCAGTATGGATCATGCCATCATGAGCCCTCATCTCTTCGTGCCTTGGCCCATCCTGTTCTTCTGCATGGAGTGTTCTTCTCTTGGGCCCTTCTCCACCTGTCAAAGTTGTAGGCATCCTACAAATGCTGCAACCTCTCTGAGCACTTCCTCAACACCCGGGGGGCTGTCAGATACTTCTCTGAACCTTCTATTCTCTATGCAGACACTTTCTGCACTGTTTTGTCATTTAGCTGATAACCCATGGAGGGCTTTTCTTCATCCCCAACTTTAAGTCTATTGTATGCCCTCAGAAAATGGTTTCTGAATAAATGGATGGATGAATGAATGGATGGTTAATTGGATGGAAGGAAGGAAGGGAGAAAGACATTACTTTTCCTTTTAAAGCGTGTTATTAAAATAGCCGTGGTTATTTAGGCATTTTAAAACCTGATGGTGAGAAAAAAATTCTTCCTGGGAGCAGGTGAGGAAAAAAATTAAACATTTGACAACAGAACTGAAGAAGGTCTATCAATATGATGTGCTGGCGTGTAAAGATCTGTGTGCTTGTGAGCAAGGACTGGAAGGTGATACGCAAAATTGAAAATTGACCCATTAGGGGGAAGAGTATAGGTTTTTTTAATTAAAAAAAATCTTGGATGTCCCTGTTACATCACCTCGTTGGTCTTAAGGGATGAGCTCACTCTTCCGATTTATCGCTCTGGGCACAGTAACTTGGACAGGGGCAGGGCTCTAGGTAGTATAAAACACAGGCCAGCAGCATCTGTGTATATATGCTCTTAAAGACTCTCCTTCGGGAGGCGCCTGGGTGCCTCAGTCAGTTAAGCATCTGCCTTTGGCTCAGGTCCTGATCCTGGGATCCTGGGATCAAGACCCACATCGGGTTCCCTGCTCAGCAGGGAGTCTGCTTCTCCCTCTCCCTCTGCTCATGTTCTCTCTCTCTCTCTCACTCTCTCACTTGCTCACTCTCTCTCTCTCAAATAAATAAATAAAATCTTAAAAAAAAAAAGACTCTCCTTCAGGAAAAATGAGATTTATATTAACATTCTGAGGGGCAGGAGGAAGTATAGATTTTTTTAAAAGATTCTATTTGTTTATTTATTTTAGAAATAGAGTGTGAGCAGGGAGAGGAAAAGAGGGGGAGGGAGAGGGAGGGAGGAAGAATCTCAAGCAGACTCTGCACTGAGCATGAAGCCCAACGCGGGGCTTGATCTCATGACCCTGAGATCATGACCTGAGCCGAAACCAAGAGTCGGGCGCTCAACTGAGTCAGCCACCCAGGTGCCCCGCGGGAGTCTAGATTTTATGGCACTAGAACACCAAGGCTATTTGTATTTTTAAGACTCCAATTGGAAGACTGGTACAAGATAAAGGAAAATGGAGGCAGCAAGAGAATTGACCTGTCCTGGGATGGAAAGTGTGTTCTTCTCAGAGTTCCCGGAAGTATGCATGGCAGTGAGAGGAGCAGGCCAGGAATGGGTCATCTCCTGGTGAGGAAAAACAAAGCAATTTTATTTTGGGGCATTTAGCAAATCACTTTCTTGGCACTAAATTCAGTAGGGCCCTTTATAAATACTTACGGACTCAGTTGGCCTTAATTGTTTTCAGGGGAACTTAAATCCATTCCCTCCACTCCCCTGCCCCATCCTGGTGCTTGAAGCCTATCTACAACGCAAGGGGCCATCCGACATCCACTCGCACAGAGCCAGTCCCACGTTGAGACAGCCCGATCACACTATTGCTCCTGGTTGTGAGCTGAACGCCTGTCTCCCAGGAGCTTCTACCAATGGATTGTACTTTGGAACAGCACAGAACACATCTCATCTCCTCTTCTGCCACATGACAAGCCTTCAGCTGGTGGAAGACAGCAATCCCATCCCCTGGTGCTGCCTTTACTCTGAGACATTTGGAGCTTGTTCATTCATTCAGACACACGGCGTTCCCGTGAGTTCGAGTCTCAACGTAGGAAGGAGAAGCCCCTGAGGTTCCCACTCCATTATCAGCAGGGGCACCTTCTCGATCCCTTCAAACCCTTGGTTTGAAAAGAGCTGCTGTTCAAATCTTGACTGAGTCTTAGGGCTCGTGGCCAACATGCTTTACCCGAAGATGAGGGGTAATTAAATCACAGGCTCAACGTCCCAGCACCAGAGATGACAAAGTTTGTGAAGCAGGAGGGAGCCAGCCTATGTTGCATTCATCAGACATTCTGGTGTATAAACATTCAACATAAAAATCAATGCAATAATGGAAAAAAAAAAAAGGCGAGCTTTGGGGAAGAGTGGAGAGGATCAAATTTGATGAAAGGCCTTTTCTTAATGAGTCAGTTACATAATACTTTTCCCCAATCTTTATGGGTAACATAATTAGTCATTTCAAGGGTAATATTAATAAGAACTCTCAGGTAGCACTAAAACATTTTTCCCCCCTTCTATAATTACCCAGTTCAAAAAGAGCCTTTGATGTATGAAGAGCTGTAATGCAGGGAGATACTTGACGGATTCATTCACAGCGGCAGTGCTGAAGCAGAATGTGTAAGTATGATTCAGACAAGGGCTGACACAGATTGGAGTCTACCTAGCACTATTTAAAAGGAGGCGCTAAGGACATTAAAAATGCATGCAAGATTTAGAGGGGATGCTTAACCTACTTAAGAGAGAAACTGTTTTCAAGTGTTTTTGAGTTGTGCATTTGTATGCAGTTGATAACATTTGTATGCTACTTAGGCATTCATCAAAACTGGCCCAAAGTAACTCTCTGTGACAACAGTTTGAAGCCCAATTCCAATTACTGAATGATTTCTTTTACATGTTAGGTGTTTTCTTTTTCCGATGAAGGCTGGTCTTCTCCAAAATCTGTCCCATGTAAAACATACAGGTCCTATTTAGCCAGAGCTAACCAAGGGGCGGTAAGGCCCCAGCCTGGGATCAAGAAACGTTGTCTCTTATCAGCAACTAGGGAGTACGCCTCCATCAATGAGAGGCTTGGTCACATCCCTTTTTACCACTGGCTTTAGAGGTGTGTCTCTGGGTTTATGAAAAGGTGTTTCAGACACCTGGAAGGATGAACTCCCTCCTCAAATTTACTCTGTGGCATAATGGGATTATCTTGAATCACCATCCAAGCACACCACCCTGCTGGCCAGGCCACATAGAACTGTGACCACGTTTGCATTTTCAATTACAACTGATTCTCTGGAAACGTGAGATTTCATGAAATGGCAAGCCGATTCTGTGTTACCACCGATGCATTTGATTAAAGTAGGGAAGATGCAGTTGAAAGGAATATAATTTCCTGAAAGGCTATCTTCAGCAAGGAACGTTGGAGCAAGCTCTTTCACTTCTCAAAATGAGCTAGACCTGTAAAGTGTGGAAAGCTCACAGCAGATTTTCCATTGTCATCCTTTTCATTCACACTTGAAGGATATTAATCTATTTTTATGTTCTCGCTATTCCCAAGATAAGAACCCCCATGCACCCTTATCCAACTGTACTAAGTCTGCCTAGTCTTCAGGTAGGATGAGCACCTGCTGCACAGTGTTGCCAAAGCTTTTACAACAGGCTCCAGTGCTGAGTGCCCAAGCTGAACACCAAGCGTCACCCCTCCATTAACAACAAAAACCTCACACACACACAGACATGCGCACACATGCACACACGCACTTGCATGAGATGGGTCTGAAACTCCTTCATCTCTGGGCTCCCTCAATCCTCCCCGAGAGAGAAATAAAGCAGGGGCTCATCTTCCCATTAGGCAGTGGTAAGCGAATGCTGGTAACCAGTTCCAAAGTGCACATTCTGCTACACCAGATAGGTTGACTGTTACTGTAGAGTTGACAAACATGGTTAATGGAGAAAGGACTAAGTAAGTAATGATGTGTTATCTTTCAGCATTTAACAGAGGATAGGTTTCACAAGCAACAGAGCATTCTATGTAATCTCTAACAACGGCGTGGATGTTTATTAATGTGAGCTGAAGACTTCAAAGTCAGACCCAGAAAAATCAGAAAAGGCTGAATTTTCTTTTTAAGAGTTTATTTATTTACTTATTTATTTAGAGCATGAGTGGGGGGAGGGGCAGAGGGAGAGAGAGAATCTCAAACAGATTCCATGCTGACCACAGAGCCTGATGCAGGGCTCGATCCCACGGCCCTGAGATCATGACCTGAGCTGAAACCAAGAGTCAGACACTCAACTGACTGAGCCACCCAGGCACCCCTCTTTTTCTTTTTTTTTTTTTTAAGATTTATTTACTTACTTGAGAGGAGTGGGGTGGAGGGGGCGCTAAGGGAGAGGGAGAGAATCTCAAGCCGACTCCCGCTGAGCGTGGAGCCCGACAGGGGGCTCAAATCTTCTGACTCTTGAGATCATGACCTGAGCCAAAAATCAAGAGTTGAACGCTCAACTGACTGAGCCACCCAAGCGCCCCAGATAAGGCCCAATTTTCCACCAGTGACTGCTTCTCCACCAAATTATCCATACCATGGTTCATGGCTAGGACTCTAATGAATCCAAAACAACTTGTGGGGAGAATCACTTTGCTGGACTTGGACACACAAGCTGGGTGCACCACCGGCTGAGGAGCAGAAGAAGGTCTGGATTCCGGACTCTCTTTACACAGAGCTGTCTGGCTGGCTCTTCTTTGTAGTAGCTAGGATGTTGTCCCAATCCTTGTCTTACTCAACTTTGTATCTCCAGTGCCTAGCACGTAGTAACTGGTGAATATGAGATATTATTATTAGTGTCTGAAGTTTCTGTGTTTGAATTAATAGTAATAAGAAGAATCATACCAAGATTCACCAAGTGCTTACAGTGTGCCAAGAGCTCAGTTTCTACATTCAGTCTTTGTGGGCTACAAACTAAAGAGGCAGGGTTCACCATCATGCTCCTTTGGAGACACAAAGAGGTCAAGTGACTTGTTCAAGGCCACACAACTAGTAAATGACTGGGTCTGTTTGGTGGATGCCCTGCATTTTGTTCTACTAACTTCTACCGAGTAGTCATTATGTACCAGTCACTGGGACCTAGAAAGGATGAAAAGTCAAGATCCTCCCGGAGAAGAGCTCACTCTGCTTGATGTGCTTGAGAGGGGAATGTGCAGAGGCGTGTTGGAAGGAATCCACTGTGTGAGGCTTTTGGGAAAGGCTTCATAGTGAAGGCGAGAGGAGTCGCAGGTGTGCACATATGTGTGTATGTCTGCCTGTGTATTCCTTCCAGAGGCTAACATTTTACCTGGCACATAGTAGATGTCCAAGCAGTGTATGTTTAGGTTAAACAGCATAACATAAATATTAAGGTCCTTACCTCGAAAAGTTAACTGAAGAGATGATTAATTTTTCAAATAACCATCTTAATGAATGCAATGGTGATATCTTACATATTTCATTGCTGTTGTCAGAGGCAGAAAGATCCCTCAAAGATCCCTGGACTAAGAGTAAGGAGAGCTTAACTCATGTCCCAGTTTGGTCAAAAGCTACCTGAGTGGCCCCGATCAAGTTGCTTGCCCTCTCTGAGCCTCAGTGTTCCTACCTACAGCACGTGGGCTTTGGCTGAGATGGCCTCCGGGGGCTCTCCAGCTGTCAATTCTGTTAACCTCTGCCACCACGTCCACAGACTTGCCATAGGGGACAGGGAGCTACTGCATGGGCAAGGGGTCTGGATAGCATGGTGTCGAACACGCCCAAGACTCATCACGACGAGCCCTGGGAGCAAAGCCCGAGCATTGCCAGCATGAGCCTAGCAGACAGGCAGCTCAGGCTCTGTCCAGGGCTCCAGACGAGAGGGGCTCTGTACACCTTGCCCCTTCCCTCTATTGAAATGCTAAGGATAAAATAGCTGCAATTTGGGGAGTACAAATTCTTGTGATTAAGAATAACAGTACATGGGAACAGCTGAGTGGTTTTAAAACACAAATATGATTGAATAGAAGAAGTCCACAAAATCAGGTTGGAGTTTATTTTCACAGAGACTTGGACTTACGTGACCTTGGACTCCAACTTCCATTGGGGGAGGGGATAATTTTCTTCCTATTTTTAGTTCCAGGAAGCGGAATAGGAAAGTAAATATATACACTGCACAGTCTGACATGCCACCAGGGCCTAAGGACGCAGGAACATCAGCACCTTCCTTTTTCTCCAAAACTGACGAAAACCTGAAACCAAGGAGTCCAGCCCATGGGTCCCGACTCTGCAAGTGGGTGTGTTCACTAGAGTCCAATCTGCTTCTTTAGCCAAAGGGCCCTCCCTCCTCCAGCACAAAACCCGTCGTGTGTGTGTGGGTGGGGGGTGGGAGGCTGGCAAGAACTTACCAGAAAACCCAATTTGCTTGCATAAATGATTTAGAACCTTTGTATCCATGGGCCCTGATGGTTCTCTGAAGAGCCAGAAACGGGGAGTGAGGTGGAATGAGGCATGAGGGCTGCTAGGCAGTAAGGGGCAAGGGCCCTTGAGGTCCCCAGTGGGGCCGGCCTGGAGAATCGGGCCTCAGAATTC